CGAGAGACAGGATATAGCCTCGAGTCGCATAAGACGGTATTGAAAAACCACGCAACCAAGTCTGGCCTAACAAAAAGAGACGCAAGTTCCGCAATAGCTACCGTACGTACATGAGCGAAGTAAGTAAGTAGGTAGTAATAGCAACGCTGATGTCAATCGTGGTAGAAGAACATCCATCATTATCATCATCATCATCATCCATAGCTTTAACTGTGACTATGACCATGACTATGACCATGACTATGACTGATTACGATCGTGACTTGTGACTATGATACGAGCGACTCGACCGGGATACCTTAACGAATGCTTCTGCTTCTGCTTCTTCGTTGCTTTCCATCTCACACCTGTCCTAGTCCTCATCAATAATATCATCATCACGCCTCTCATCTTCGCTTCTGTCCTCTTTCCATGATATCCGCACCTCACCCCACTTCATGCTTCGTGCCGTAGATTCTATTACTTCCTTTACCCCTTTTGCCGCCGACGTCATCTCTCCGCCGTACTAACTAATAGGGAGTAAGGGGGAGTGGGGAGAAATTAGAACAGCATTCGCATAGGGCTATCCACACTGACCCTCCCATCCGTACCGACCCTCATGAGTATCGGCCACAGGTATTCGCAGGGCGGTCCTCGAGACCGCTAGTCTGAACTCCACCCGACCCAGCTACGCGGCATCACCCGCCAGATCTTCACTTCGCCACTCCTAAGATCTTCCAACTTGAAACTCTCCTGTTTTACTTTTTTGCTTTCGCGACCCTGCTCCCAGGCCCGAACCTTCTTTTTGGTACCGTCCCACTCTGCGACGATCGCCACGTGGTCCGGCTTGCCCACTTCCATCGTGTATTTGGCGTGCATAGGTCCATGTTTGCCTTGAAACTTGGCGTTGCGGATGGAAATGATATCTCCCGGTCTAATTTCGTCGTTTAGTTGTGTCGAAGCATTAGCTAAATTGGCGTAGACCAAGGCACCATAACCGCGCCTGCCGACAGGAAGTAGGACACCTTTCAGAGGCTTGAGAAGCTCTAAGATGAGCGCCCACGGAGATCCGTCGCCAACGACCGAGTCCTTCTTGGTCGCAACGGCACTGGATAGTGCTCGACCAAATTGCTCGTACGCCCCTTCTAGCTCGTCCTGGCGAAGGCTCCGAGGAGGCGCTTCATGGCGCTGCTCAAGCTGGACGTCTGCGGGATTTTGGATGTCGAAACGAACAGTAACCACGGTTTGCGAGTAATCTTGGAATAGGATAAACACTTCTTTGGTAACTGACGTCCCAGAGGTTGACTCATCACATTCGGTATAAATATCTGGTCTGCCTTGAAAGACCGGAGGAAGTCCGTTTGGCGAAAGCCACCATTGTGTATGGCCGGCTAAATCAATCTCATTTGCCACGTAGCCCGTTTCCATTGACGGTCGGGAGGCGTCGACTGATCTTCTTCCACCTGGTCTTTGTACGTCTAATGATTTTCGAGGTGGTGCCCTATTAACTGGCGGTGCTGGTGGGGGCCCTCGGGTGACTGGCGGAGGCGGAGGCGGCGAATGATACGCGGAAGCCGACTGAGGTGTTGATGTCGGCTCATCATGGGTGGCTAGACTATGGGCAGCTGCTGCAGAAGAACTTTGGGCCGCATTGTAATTGAAAGGATCATAATCTTCATCGTTATAGGATGCCTCTTTTGGAGGTGGCGGCGGAGGAGCGGCCCGAGGTACGTCTATAGAACCCCTCGAGCCTGGTGGAGGTTGGCTGGGAACTGGCGGCGGACCAGCTCTCGGAGCAGTGGCGCTGAGGACCGGAGGGGGCAATGAAGGTGGAACATCGGTTACCGGTGAACGCACTGAGGCATTATCGTCGAAGCTCGAATCCCGGGCATGCGACTTAAGCGCATCCTTATGAGGGACCGAAGATGCGATGTCAGTGTCATAATCGCCTTCATATTCAGTAACTTCGCCCTCTTCACCATTATCCAAAGGTCCAGGCCGCATTGGGAGTGCAATTCGCTCATCAGCGGTAGAAGAACGACTTAGGGGACCACCAGGGGGAGGAGGGGGTGGGGGACGACTTTGGATGGGGGGAGGTGGAGCACCGCCTGGTATAGGAGGCGGAGGGCGGCTATTCCTCTTACTTGGCACCGGCGGGGAGGTTGGCGAAACTTGTTCGACAATATAGGAGATCGGCCGATTGGGAATCCGTGGTGAAGTCGGTATTGTGGGAGAGGCTATGGGAGCCGGGGGAGCCTCGCTTCGGGGAGTCTCGAGAGCTCTCTGGGGGTTCTCGGATAATTCGTCATCGGATTCGGAGCCCTGGCTGGGTGAAGTTACGCCGGTGGGAAGGGGTCGAGCTGGAAAGATAATTAGTATAGTACTATAAAAATAAATAAAAAGGTTGAAACCAACAATCTGTAGGCACCGGGGGTGGTGCAGGTCGGCTTCCAGGGACGGGAGGTGGAGCACTAGATGTATTTGACAGAGCTACCCGTCGTGTTAATCGCCTTACCATAGTCATAATAAGACAAAGCACACGCCGGGGTTGAAACTTACGTTCTGGAGCTGAGCCAGTTGGCTGAGCACTGACAACTGGTGTAGTGTCTTGCTCGCCTGGCTCATCATGATCGGACTTGGCAGCTTCTTCCTCTTCCTGCTTGGGTTTCCCCATGCCAGGGAGAGCCATCAAAGTCGGCACCGGGGGAGCGGACATTCTAGGCGATGAAGGCCCGTCTTGAATTTCGCTCGAACGGCGCTCTGATGGTGGTGAAGCTTTAGGCTTCTTGGGTATCGCCGGGCCTCCGACGGGCATCATCCCGGGCGGACCAAACATACCATGGAAGCCCATGCCACCGCTCATTTTTGCCATCCTGGCACGAAGCTCCTCCTTTCGTCTGACCTCGGGGTCGACATCCTCCTCTTGTCCCTCTTCTCCTTCTCGATCCTCCGGGATTTCTGGCTCAGCAGCAGTTCCTCTATGGGGACGAGATTTTTCATCACTATCTTCTTTCTCGGTGAGATCTTCTTGCCCTTCTGTCGTGTCTCCCGCGCCGGACATGTCTGCCTCATTCCCGTCATTCTCAGCACGTGCTGCAGAAGACCTTCGCCGAGAACTTATTGACTGTCGTGGAGGTCTAGGCTCATCCATAGACTTCTTGCTAGCGACCTCAGCTGTATCCTTTCTTTCCAAAGGAGCCGGGGCTTCTGCAGTCTCGTCTGCCGGTGTCCCCTCCTCGCTCTCGGTACGCTTTTTCTGGGGACGTTTAGGCTTTTCCTTCTTTGCAACGGCTTCAGCGTGACGTTGAGCTGCTTCAGCCTGTTGTTTCTGGAGTAAGGCAATTCGCTCCTTTAAGCTAGTTGGTTTGGGTACGTCTTCGGCTTGACCTTCGGAGGTCCCCGCGGGAACGAGCCCGGCCTTCTCCGCATTTTCTAGAGATTCCGCCTCTGTAGCTTTGATCTCGGGATCTTCATCCCGTCGATATACTTTAGCGGTAGGCACATCGCGAGGCGGAGGCACAAAAGCATTTCTACTGGGCGGGGGAGCAACAAAAGGCTTTTTGATAAAGCCGGAACTACCGGAGCTAAGGTTGCCAGGTTTGAAAGGGGCAACCGGGGGAGCTGCTGGCTTGTTAAAAGCTGCTATACGATCTCTGAAGGAATTGCCACCGGGCTTCTCGGACACCGGGGGGGCAGCTCGAGCAGGACCCGGAGCTGGAGATTTTGATACCGGCGGAGCAGCGACTCGGGGGCTTGCCGGCTCGAAAGCCTTAGGTTGGACGGGGACGGGAGCCGGGATGGGGGCTGGCTCTGGTGGTTTAGCTACAGGAGCAACTGGGGCCGGAGGAGGGCGGGGAGCGGGAACTGGAATCGGCGGTGAAGCAACACGTGGTTCTCCGTAGGCTACTTCTGATGGTATATCCGCAGGCTCCTCCACAGGCGGTGGAGAGGATGGAGCAGCTGTTGGTGGCGGCGGCGGTGAGGAAGGGGTAGCCTCTGCGTCCTTCTTACGAGTTCTTGTTGGACGTGGCGGGGCAGTCGGTTCATACTTCTCCACGAAGTTTCGGGGAAATATTCCCTCTCGCCTCACCCCTAAATCATCAACATATTCACCGCCGTACCAGTCATCGTCCTCATTATCGGTGACGGTTATGATTTGGCCAATTCCAAAGGGCAGATCGTCCTCGTGGCTCGAGGTGTACTCGTAAATGGCCTTCACCTTGAATGGCACGGCAGCCATGGTGATGGTATGTCAAGCGTGGTAATGTTGTAATATTATCTGGTGGAACTCGATCTTGGGAGCTTCTTGGTGCAATTGGCGGGGTCGTAGACAGTGAGTAAGATGAAAGCGACCGTGGGGTCTGTAAATTGGTTTTGTTTCTCTCTGGCCGTTGGAGACGAAACAAGAATCTATTCTCAAGTTTGTTTAATACGACAGGTGATGTATCACGATCCGATAAATTGGGTAGAAAGGGGAACGCATGAGGCTGAGCATTCGCTAGCAGCCTGTCACAGCTGGCGGCTGGAGTAGGTCGACGTCAGCGCATGAACTTGTACCCTTATATGGTCTTTACAGGATTGAATAGATGAGATGTAACCCACCGTAAAAGCCAAGCTTAGCCTGGTCGACCGAGGTTGCGTGCTTCAAGTTGGGTTGGGTGCATATGATTAATGAGTTGCTTGTATTCCCCGTATTCCACTATGAGCCCGTAGTAGCGACGGGTTCAGTAAGGGTCGGGACTAATCTAATCGGCAAAAGATAAAAAAGTTCTGAAAAGTGCGGTTGGACGCCTGATGGGATTCAAATGTGAGGGAAAGGATGCAATGCAGTGTGCAGGGTTTCGTCTGCTTGGCTTAGCTTCAATGCTGATGCCCGCTCCGAGCGTCCCTAGGCTGCTACTATGCGAGTACATACACTACGTACCTATGTTTAATGTTAAGGCAAGTGCACGGGCCAATGACGATACTATATGCAGCTTTCCCTCGCTTGAGGCAAGCTCCTTTTTGTTTTATACTTATGGAGATACCTTGGTGGAAGGCAAGTAAGTCCGGTGGCTAAACGCCTCAGCTTTCATTGTGGCACATTGCCTTATCCACCTAGGTAGGTATGTAAATTATGGAAGACTACTCGCACCGTGCGGGGTGATTACGCTTTCTGCAGATAATACATACGAAACTGCCCAAAATATCAAGACAGATTCACTCCCTCCACCATATCACTACGTAATAGCGGGACTAATGATGCGGATATAGAATTTCAATACGACAATTGAAGGGTTACGACAACCTACCTATCTTTTATACCTACCAAAATAACGAAATCATACCAAAAGATCTAAACAATATGTCTTCGGCAACCCCAACAACCTCAACAACCTCGTCACAACCTAAGAAGCCCAAGGGCATCTTAAAAAAACCCACAACAACAACAACAACAACAACGACCAATACCTCATCTCCTTCCACAGCCATAGCTCCCACTCCCATCTCCCCCTTCCCAATCCAAGAACACAAACCATCCGCCTCCAACCCCGACGCGCGCGAAACAGCCATCCAACAAGCCCGCATAATCCAGCAGCAGCAAGTCTTCGAAGACGAGATCCAGGACTCCATCATCGAGCTATCCAAGCTCCCCCTAGCCTCCTCCTCCTCGTCCACGTACGACTCCTCGAACCCCTCCCCTTCCGACGCCGACGTCTTCCGCCAGCTGGTCCGCCTCTTCCAGCCGGGCGACTACGAGGACCTGATCGAAGAGCGCAACACGCTCAAGAAATGCGGGTACGCGCTGTGCCCGCGCCCGCGCCTGCGTCTCGGCCCGGGCGGCGAGTACAAGCTGGTGAGCTGGGGACGAGAGGACTTTGGCATCGTGCCGCGAAAGGAGTTGGAGCGGTGGTGCTCGCGGGACTGCGCCCGCCGCGCCATGTACGTCAAGGTGCAGCTTGGCGAGACCGCGGCCTGGGAACGAGCGGGCATTTCGTCTATCCGGATCGATCTGCTGGACGAGCCGAAGCAGGCCGAGGAAGAGGACGATGATGCGACTCGGCGGCTCGAGAGGGAGTTACAGAGCGTGGAAAGGAAGGCTGCCCAGGATGCTAAGGATCTAGCGCTCGAACGAGGCGATGCGGTGGACAAGCCGTCTACGAGAAAAGTTAAGCTTACGATTAGGGAAAAGTCCGTTAAGATGGCTCCGCAAGAGCCCACGCTGGATGAAGATGGCGAGGGCCATTTAGTACTGGACGGTTACAAACCAAAATTCAACCAAGAGCTAGAACAAAATGGCGAAGATGAAACGATGAAAGAGGATGATTCTGAAAAACCGACAGCAGAATGATATAACAGTATTTTGATCATTACCAGCATAGTTCCGGCGTTCTGATTAGGATCATTTGAGATACCCTTAGTAGAAAATAATGGCAAAGACAATCACCTGTACCGAGACACGTAGTATAATGGCCAACGTCATGACCATCCCTTTATGCCTAGTGCCGAGTTGTCCAGCTTACGGGGACTCAAGGAGTTAATAAGGACCTAGACGTTGTAAATCCAAGTTGTAAATCCAAGTTGTAAATCCAAGTCAAGCACAAGTCACGCATGGGCAGAAGGAATAACAATTGGCCATCAACCGTCATCCCCAGAGAGAGCACTGGAGAATCAGGGACACCTTGTGTGGGAAAGATCTCGTCAATTGCGGATCTAGAATGGTACCTACTATCGTCCGTAGAGACGCCGTAAAGCCATGTTAAGACCGATACCAGTTGCCCAAACCAACCATCATAACCCTCCTTCACTTTTCACGTGAGGAAATCGCTAATATTTGCAACGTTTATCGGGGAGCACGGTCGCCGAATCTGCGGGGTCGCTCAGCGGTCTGCTGCTGGGTGACGGGAACGACGTTGACGGGGACGTTGTCGAACTAAATATCAGATCATGGTAAGCAAGTGACATCTAACTTCAAGACGGTGGAGGGAGAAGAAACGTACGCCAAGGTGCTTCAGCAGGTCCTTGGTCTCAACATCGATGTCGAGTTGGCCAGCCTCGGTGTTCTGGACGAAGTCAAGGGCGGAGACTTCGGGCACGTATTGATCCTTGCGTTCTCGCTCCTCTTCTTGCAGTTTGAAGGAGATACCACGGACAGGTCCTCGCTGAATACGCTTCATCAAGTGGGTGGTGTATCCGGCAATCTGTAAGCCTCCCAGTTAGCTTAGGCTTCCTGCTAATTTGACTATTGCAATTGCATGCAATATTCCGTCTAGTATAAAGGCCGGAGATGGTTGCTGACCTTGTTGCGCAGACGCTTGGAGGCGATGATAGCGATCTCGTCGCAGACGCGCTTGTTGGTCTCGAAGTCGAGAGTGAGCTTGGGGTAGTACCGCTCAATGATGACCTTGGCGGACTTCTTGACAGTCTTTGTGCGAACGCGACCCATTTTGGCGGTATTGGCTACGGGTTAGTAGGGGGAGAATGTGGTTGTTGAAAGAAGTCCGAAGATTGTCAAAGTTGCGCTTGAGGATGTCTCGAAAAGAATTATTGGGAGTGTGCAGAATCTGTGTGGGGGGGAAATTCGGTAAAACTCTGGGTCCTAGGGCAGGAGAGAATTATGGCTTGACCAGGCTGTGGCTTGATTGGCAAGAATTAGTGGGTTCTTTAAAAGAGGTACCTAAGTATCTAAGTACTTATCTGACAGCCGCTGAATTGCGATTGGCAGCTGACAGATCGACTATTAAGGGCGTCCAACTACCTATATATTCCAGACACCAATATACGGTTAAAGAATATAGATGGAATTACTTGAGGTTGGGTGTTGATTTACTAGGGTTCCTCTATTACTTTATAGAGGATATCTCCTATCTGATATGTACAGAAATCATACAAAGCACAGAGCTTACATCAAATACTACATGATGCCTCCATTACTTCATCCCACTTCAGGGACTAGAGCCCTCGTGAATCTATTCATAGTCCTTATTGCTCCCAAAAGTTCGGCCGAGGCCGTAACCTCTGGCACTGCCAGATGCCCTGTTTCCCAGTCGCGCGCTAAAGTTACCAGTTTCCCTAGGATTACGGGGCACTTGCGGAATCGCACCCTTCTTCACAACCTCGTCGAATACGGTGCCCTCTCCCACCATCTCTTTCTGCACCAACTGGCTCACCTCGTTCGCCTCTCCTATGTTGACGTAAACCCTTCCGGTGGAATCGACCGTCGCCATGTTAGGCTGCACGTAGACCTTCGATCCGCCGTATTTCTCGAGATCTAGCTTGTGTACGGCTGTGCTGAACTCAGACACGTTCTTCTGCTTCGATGAGTTAAATGCTGTATCCTCGTTCGGCGTGTTGCCGACGAATCCAGCAATACCGATGCTCGGTTTGAAACTGTTCGTGGCGAAGTTCGTGGGTTTCAGGACTCTCGCCTTGATGGGGGCGTGATGTAACTGAGGTCCGTAGATCGCATGGTTCTCCTGGAAATTCCGGGTGCGCAGATAAGAAATACCAGCTGAAGGGTGTGTAATAGGGGGTCCAGTTGCCCCATACGGACTCCCACTAGCGAGTTCATTCCTTTTTCCTGGTATCAATCTACCAAGCATGTGGAGTTCGGTGGACAAATCCACTGGAGCAAGATCTAGGAACCGACTGACGAGGTTGTATAGGGCCATGCGGTCTTGCCTCAGTTCCCTCACATAGTCTGTCAGTTGATCTTCCGTAATATCTTCACCGGTGAGCTGTGGTGGTATCTCCTCCCCAGCATCGCCAGCCTTCTGTGCCTGTTCCTTCGACAACTCGGCCGCCAAGACCTTCTTTAAAAAGGCACGGAATTCCACACGCTTACTCCGCACCTTCTTATCAAGGAATTTCTTAAAGTCGCCATCTGTCATACCGGCAAGCCATGGCCCTGAGAACTTCCACCTTTTGTTTGCCAGTTCCGCTTTCTGCTCATCGTTTAAAGCAGTCAGATCGGCATCCTCCTCAAAGACCGACTTCGTATATTTAACAGCCGAATAAGTATCCTGGGTGTTTGAGATTGGTACACTAATTGGCAAGTTCATTTCCTGGTACTTCCGTAAAGTTACCGTATGGTCTGATGCAGACTGGAAATCTGTGACTTGCTCGATAGAATCGACTTGCCTTACCCGCGCGAGGGGGTAGGTGGTATTCGTCGTAGTTTTTAGAGGAAATGGCCTTTTAAAACCCCAGTCGCCATTAATTCGAGAGGACGCAGTCGTCGTTACAGTAAGATGCGTCGGGAAATGGATCGTGGAAGTCGGAGAGTAGTGTTTAGTTGCCGAAGAAAGGTCACCAGGAGGAGCAGGTATTGGGGCTGGCATTGAGAACATCCGAGATGATCTCAGGAGCGCCGCCCCAGGGGAAACACTCCGGCCAGCCATCATGGGCAGTTCCAAGCCCGCGACGGAGCTCAACGCCATGCTAGTGAGGACCTTGGGTTAGACGGTACAAGTGACGCTGAGGATTTTTCGATGAAGCGCAAAGAGTCGGTAGATCATCGGAAACTTCCAAGATATACTTCCCAAGGTATCTTATCGATTACCTTAGCGGGGCAATCAATATACAGTACATAGGTACCTAGCGTTTCCTCCAGGCTCCAGGCCTACGGATTACAAGGCAACAACATGCAGACCCGGGAGGGGAAGCTACATGTACATACATAATAGGGGGCAGCTCCTGCAGACCTGCAGGGACTCAGGGGTGGTCTAAAGCTCCGCCGCCGACCCTCGTCATACCTGTAGGCTGTAGACGCTGGCTGGACTTACATGATAAAGAAGCATCAACATCCAACTACTAGCAAACCGGACAGACCACCCCCTCACCCCTCACCACATAACTTTCTGTACGGCTGTCCGCTGTCCGCTGTCCGCTGTACGTGGGGTACCCAAGGTAAAATCGAGGCAAAGAAAAAAAAATTATGGAGTCAATCGACCCGGCTACTGGCCGAACGCTGCCACCCGATGCCATCCAAAGAGTGCTATTCGTAGCGAGCCCCGTGCATGTCTACAACATCCCGCCCATGACGCCCGGGAAGGGACATGTCGCGGCGACCTGGACGGGCGAGGGCAGCAATGACCGACAGATCTTCACGGCGCGCATGCGCGTCATCGAGACTGCTATCCCCGTGCCCGGCAACAACAACAACAACACCGACGCCGACGCCGACGCCGAAGGCGACGAGCAGGTAAAGACGGACATCATCCTCGAGGACGCCAGCACGGGCCAACTATTTGCCGCGGCACCGTACACGGCTGCCGCCATCGTCGAGCCCGTCTCCGACAGCTCGCGGTTCTTTGCGCTGCGCGTGCAGGACGACGCCGGCCGCAAAGCCACTCTGGGCGTCGGCTTCGAGGAGCGCAGCGAGGCCTTCGACTTCGGCGTGTCCCTGCAGGAGGCCCAGAAGACGCTTGGCTGGAGCAGTCGGGCCGGGGGCCAGGCCGGGAAGAAGCCGGCCGTCGAGCGGAAAGACGGCGCCGAGAAGCGCGATCTCAGCCTGAAGGAAGGCGAGACGATTACGGTTAACTTGCCGGGAAGATTCGGCAGACGGAAGCCAGACCCGCCTCCTCAGGGCTCGGGCAACGAGGGTCTGTCGTCGTTCTCGTTACCTCCGCCGCCGTCGTCCGCATCACCTGCTTCGGCGCCTCGCGGTTCGGGAATACTTCCGCCGCCACCGACTTCGCACAGCAGCACGCGCGCAAAGCGGTTGTCAGCACAGGATTTAGGGTTTGACAACGGCAAGTTTGGAGAATTTGCATGAGCACTGGATTTGGGTAGCTTAAACTAAAGCTTTATTACTGGATAGGTAGCTTACGACGGAGGGATACACTATCGGTAATAGTCTTACTCTCGAGATGAAGTAGATTCTCATTATGAACACTCTAACTAAACGATGACTTATGAACCTCCCCCCCCCCCTTATCTAAATCCATACCGTCCCGTCCTTCACATTACATCCAGAAAGCGTGCCAGTACCCTAAAACCATGCAGAATTGCACCGCTTTGGATTGTGTTCGGACCTGTCTTCACCTATTGGAGGCGGAGTACTCGGCAGCGGCTGTTCCAACTCAGGGCTTCTTCTCGCAGTAACTTCTAGATGGCTGCTAGACATATCGTCCAATGCATTACTAGTAAAGGCGCCGTCCATTTCAGATCTCTCGGGCGTATGATGGATTTCCGGCACGTTCGAGGGACATATGTAAGTTCGATCCGCCCAATAATATCCGGGATAAGCCCCTTGGCTCGGAAAGGCGTCCCAGGACGGTGCGCTTGGGTATACAATGCCCCCATATGGTGAATGATAAGCGCTGTAGACCGGAGGTGGGTTCGCCTGGGGCCATGGCGATATTGGCGGCGCAAGGAAATCTTGAAAGTTGGGGTTGTGGTGTTGCTGCGAAAGTCCCCTTGCTACCCTATCCATCTCAACTTGGACCCATCTCTCCTGACACTGTATCTCAACGTGCAGTTCGCTCAGTCGCGCTAGCACCTTCTTCTCCTTATCGACAATGTCAGTGATACGGTGTCTTAACCAGCCGCGATTCTTCTTCGCTTGTCTGAGCTTGTAGGGGGTATCGGCCTTCTGTATATTCTCTTCGGCGATTGGCACCTGTTCGAATAGTTCGAGGGCTTGTTTGTTATGCAGCTGTAGCATTCCGAGGAGACATAGACGCTCTGTATGTAGTTCATCGAAGGGACGTGGGTGAAGTCCTAGTTGTAACGCACTAACCGATTGCCAGGGGTCGCTGCGGACTTTCGTCTGCCTAGATTCTGATCCAGAACCTTTATGGTAATGGGATGGCCGTGATCTATTCATATGATTCCTGAAGCCATGATGATGACGGGGCTTCTGGTCTCCTGGAGTTTCTGACATAATGAAGTTGGGCCCTCTGCGAACTTAGCTTATAGGTAGGACTTACTCTATGCTGTATGTACGTGGAGAGACGGAGCTATTTGTAGATCAAGTCAAGTCATCCGGTAAAGTGGATGAGACAGATATCCACCGGTATAAGAAAATGAATAGAAAGGGTTCAAGAAGAGACAATTCTCTAGGGTGCTCTGGTTTCACGACAATAATATCAGTACAAGGCAAACTACGATTCTGGGTGTAGCTAGAGTTTCTATAAAGAAAACAGATACCTTAGGTACCTATGCAGTGAATGTACGTTTTAGAACCGAACCCCTAGGATATATTTATTGTTCTGTCGTAGGATGTTAGTATCAACAAAAGATGTCATCCTCAGGAACGTAATAGACATTTACCACAACTGTCTGTATAGATATATCTTAGACTTTATAGACTGAGACTTTATCCACTACGGGATGATTCGCATCTACAATGGAAACGGTTATGGAATGAGTAAAGCGCATTCTAGAGTGTGAAGCTTCCCTTCTAGACCATATTGATGTCTTTGAAAAAAGGTCCCTCGGGTTTATGTATAGAACATGTTGGATTGATAGTATGAACCAAATGTAAGGGTCTACCTAAAATAACAATACTCTCGGTAGACTTTTATGTATGTAAAAGACGTCATATAGCAAAGCCATCGTGTCGAGGAGGATCGCAAAAGCGCCACTATATCAATCCGAGTTAGTGATCGTTAACTTCATATGATTCATACCCAGTGTAAATAGTTTGGACAAGATAGGGCTTACCAGTCCCACAGCCTCTGCGGTCTTCCTGACAATTGATACCTCTTCCTTGGTGACGGGTCGATTGATATCCGCATATCTGACCTCCTCTTGAATTCCCTCTTCAGCCGTCTCCTTCTTGGTTCTTCTCTTTGGTTTCCCAACGTGAGCATCAGGTCTATACTGCTCCATGATGTTGACGAAGATATCTCGCGAAACATTCTGCGCTAGATATCTCATGATTTGTTCACTTTCCGCCTCCTTTCCTGGCATCACTAAGTGTCTGACCAGCACGCCTTTCTTCGCTATACCGTCACCAGTAAAACATAAATCCCCAACTTGCGCATGCATCGCCTTAATGCTCTCGGCAGCGGTGGAGGCATAGTCTTCAGTTTTCAGCAGGCGTTGAGACGTAGTCTTGTTCCATACCTTGAAGTCCGGGAGATAAATATCGACAAGTCCATCCATGAGCTCCAGTGATGCGAGCGAGTCGAATGCTGAGGTATTGTAAACTATAGGGATATTTAGTCCCAGATCGCGTGCATGTAATATGGACAAAGCCACTTGCGGCACCACATGCTCAGGAGTAACAAGATTGATATTATGAACATGGCCAACGTCCTGCAATTTAATATACCACTGCGCCAGCTCTTCGGGCGTCAAGTCGAATCCATTCCTCTGATGAGCAATGTCATGATTCTGGCAAAACGTGCATCGAAGATTACACCCGGAGAAGAAGACAGAGCCACTCCCATTGTGACCTTGTATACAAGGCTCTATTGCTTATATTAGTTTACATCCGGATTTATAAATATTATAGAATCGGCTCTCTGATCTTCGCCAAAATGGGGCGCGATTACGTTTACCTTGACATCATGTCCGATGAGGCACATGCCCGTCGTCTCGTAGCGGTTAACGCCGCAAAGCCGGGGGCAGAGGTTACAGTTCCGGAGGTGCGCGCGGGCGAGCTCGCGCTTCTTGGCGGCATCGGCCTCCGATAGCAACTGGTACCGAGGAGTATAGTCATCTAGGAGAAAAGGTGGAGCTAGATGAAGAGGTCGACGAAGACGAGGTCCTCGAGGGAGGTTTGTAATAAGAGCGAGATTTGCGCGAGCGCCAGTCCGTACCCTATTACTTAATAACATCCTGGGCGGCTAAGCGCATGTTTATGGTTGCTATATAGCTTTTGGTTTAGTAACTTGGGTTGTGTGAGCTAGAGAAGCATGTGGTTATTTTAAACCCCATGTATGCATCAACCAGCTGCCGATATAAGTTTGTTCGGTTGCATATATGAACAAGTTAAAGCCGAATGTTAATGACGAAAATTGGCCGTTAGAGGCCGCTTTAGACCGGACGCTTGCGGGGCAGCTTTAGTCAATGGCCGGGCATATTATCATCCAGTGACTGCAACAGTTATTTATCATATTATATACAAAGGCTACCCCTCTGCTAATGTTCCTAAAGCCTGAAAGATAGACGCTTAGAAAATATACCTGTTAACCACTTTAGATTTGTTGAAGTTATCCGGGTGTTACAATAACTGATTTTCTATTACGTTCGAATAAAAGGTACTATTATCTAAGTATACTCACTACCTCTTATTACATACCTTAGGTAACTATATTGATCAACATAATTACTAATATATCTTAGTAGCCGGTGAGATATAGTAAATATGGCACCTCAACTACTATGGATCGGCTTAGGAAATATGGGCAGAGTAAGTCTCTAATATCATGATACTTATCTATGCTTGACTCACTAATTCTCTCATTAAGGGAATGGTGAAGAATCTGGTGGAGAAGGGTAACCTGGAGAAGCCCTTGCTCTTATACAACCGAACCAGAAAGCATTCTGAGGACGTGGCATCTAAACTTCCCGCGGGAAAGACTGAGATCGTCGATTCTATCGAGGAGGGCGTCAAGAAGGCCGACATAATCTTTGTCATCCTCTCTAACGACGCCGCAGTCCAGAACGTCTTCGACACCATCCTTAAAGTTGACGTAGCGGGCAAGCTGTTCATCGAGTGCTCCACGATTCATCCAGACACTGCTCAAAAAGCTGCCGACTCAGTAGCTGAGAAGGGGGGCGATTTCATTGCGAGCCCTGTCTTCGGAGCGCCAGCAGCAGCCGAAGCAGGCCAGCTCGTGTAAGTCGGAATCTTTCACCCTGACCTACTCTAAGAATTTATTTGCTCATATCAGAAACGCAGTTTCGTCCCTGCAGGAGCCAAGTCTGCCATTGACAAGATACGGCCCTATATCAAGGGCGTAATGGGCCGGGCAGAGATTCCATTCGATGACCAGCCGCCAGCGAACTCGCTAAAGCTTAAGCTACTAGGTAATACCTTCATCGTGAACATGGTGACGGTGCTAGGCGAGGGCTTCGCAGCGGCAGAGAAGATCGGCATCGGCCCCGAGCCACTAAAGCAGTTTGTCGACCAGCTGTACGGCGGCATATACAGCGCCTACTCGGAGCGCATGCTAAATGGCACCTATTGGAAGATGGAAGAGCCGCTCTTCTCAGCTAACAACGCGCTTAAAGACGCGGGCCACGCCTCGAACTTGGCGAAGAGCGGAGGCGCCGAGCTCAAGCTGCTGGGTGTCGCTCAAAACTACTTGAAGAGTGTCGCCGAGCACGCGGGCGGCGACAAGGGCGATATTGCGGGTATCTACGGCGCTGCGAGGAAGGACTATGGGTTGAAGTTTGAGAACGACGCATGATTTATAATGTTGCGTTGAAGCTCTTGAGAAGTTTAGGAGAAAAACAAGATGATCTTATAGAATAGCTAGCTCTAATTACTATAGTATTAGTAAAAAGTGATGCTTGTTGCGATTGAGTGAACTTTTGAGTTTAAATGCCATCTCAAAACAGGGATCGAGTAATAAAGAATATATAGGTACCTACGTAACTACCCTTAATAAGACGACTTATGTAATCATACCTTTTAGCGCTCCTAACGCCCTAAACCAACAACCGTCCAGCGCAACAGGGCTGAACCGCGTTAACCAATTACAAGTCCCCCCCGACCAATTAACAATTAACCAGGCAAGCTTCATTCAATCTAGACCCGAAGCTTTCCAACGCCAACTATCCTTCACAATTCCCCTAGCTACCAATCCACCAATTCGAAGTCGATAAATTACATACCCTGCTTACAATATGGCACAGGGGTACGTTGTTGCAATCCTCTCGCGCGCCGCCTGCTGACCACACCACAGTTACAGCATCTTCGTCGGCCTCGCCATCGTGGCCGCCCTCTGCGTCGCAGCTTGGGCCTTCTCGCCAAAGGGCGAAAACCAGACGTGAGTTGTTCTCTCCTCTTGCCTATCCCATTCTATAAGGCGGCCGATGGAGGGGGAAAAAACAAACTCAATATTCTTGATGTTGACCTTGCTTGCTTGCTGACTGGGGAATTAACAGGACGTGGCGCTCCTCTCTCATCCTCGCATTCGTCAGCTGCTACCTGATGTGGTTCATCACCTTCATGGCCCAACTGCACCCGCTTATCGAGCCGAGACGGTCTACCGTCCGCGAGGGCTTCCAACACGAATGAGCCGGGCTGGGCTCTGCGCCTCTCCTGACTACGAAGCGATCTAATGCGGAAATGCGGGTTGAAAGGGGTCAAGGACGATGAAGTTTGTAAGAGTTACGGAAGTCGGGAATGCAGAGGAGATAACTCAGTGTTCAGCTCGAACGTTGAGAAGAAGAATGGCAAAGAGCACGACAGTGCTGCGAGGAGGGAAAGACTAGCCGGACTAAGCCGGGATGGACCTGTATAACACTTCGCTACCGTTATCTACATGTTTGGTTTTGGCGTTCTGGAAGATGGGCATCAATCATATCAGCACTTGGCAGCAACAGAGCGAGCAGACATTGCTGGACATCTGCGCGGACATAGTGTTCTTAATACGACAGCATTTTGAACAAACTGGTTTCTTCTTTGCGATTCATACTGTATCCCTTTACACGAGCACTCTGCTCTAAGCTAGAAGCAACTAATATATTACCCAACAGCCAGCCTCCCCGCCCACTCCCTCGCATAGACGAGCAGCGCCCACAACGCCCTTCCATCAGCCGCAACACCGCTTTCGCCCCCCGAGTCCACGTCCTCGAGCCCAACAACCCACAAGACCGCCCTACCTACTAACCAACGAGCGACAGCGCCCGCAGCCGCTAGGGCTAGCGCGACGCCGTACCCGCAGTCAAGTAGGATCTTAAGGGCCTCGACATTGTTTGCGACGACAGCCCAGCCGAGGCTGCGCGCCGCCGCCGGCACGTCGTAGTCCCAAATGACCATGAGGATCGGGAACAGCTTAGTGGACGACGAGACCAGGAGCGCCGTCGATACCGAATTGGGCCTCGCGTACGTTGGCAGTAGGCCTAGGAAATTGAGTGGGGAGAGCGGAGACGAGGTTAGGAATCGGATGCTGAGGTGAAAGGCGAGCGTAGAGAAGGTGCACAGTATTACTAAGTAACTAGTTAGCAGAATGTTGTAGGAGAGAGAGGAGAAGGAAGAACTTACGGAAGAATAGATACTGAAATACAATAGGCTGCTGCGCTAGACTCCCCAGGTTACTTCCTCCCGCAGGAGAATTCGGGTTAGGCGCGGCTTGTTTCTCGATGCGAGCCCAAGTGAGATAGACGTCGAAGAGCAGCAGTAGCGTTCCGAGACGTATAATAGACGGCTGTTGGCAATATTCCCGACTGATCAGCATCATCCACGTAGATACAATACATGGTGGTTTATACCACATAAGAAACATATTAAAAAAAATAAAAAAGGAAAATAAAAAAGGAAAATAGCAGACATACGTCGAACTGGTCGCGCTCGCGCATCAGCGTATTATGCAGCAGGTGGCGGTAGACCTGGGGCTTGATGAGGACGAGGTCGATGAAGAGCACCACGAAGTCGTGCTCGACATACTTGTCGCAGAAGCGCCCGCACTTCTTGCACACCGTCAGCCGGATGTTGTGTCCGCTCGACGGGTCCCCGGCTCCCGAGTACTGCGTCCACAGCGTCTTGACCGGGTGCCGGCACTCGATGCAGATCGGCATTCTCGTATTTCTTCCTCTCTAGTCTGCAATGGTTGGTGAGTGTAATTGTAGTAATATGTAGGTACTTGAATATGGCTGGATGCCTCCTATACGATTACGAGGAGTGTGGCATTCGCGGTTGGAGATGGCGTGCGGATGGGATGTCGCCTGGTGGTGGGTGTTGCGGAAGCATGACTGCTACGGTGCTTGATAGTTAGCGAAAGCATTTAAACAAGCTAGGTAAGGTAAGGTACGGTAGGTATGTCCCAAATCCGAGAATTAAGTATAGAAGCTTGATTCCTACCTACATGATATGTCTACATATACTTCATGACGCAGCGAGGATCTAATTGAATGGGGACCCTAGAGTTGATAAAGATAAAGCTCAAGTGCTAGTTAGTTATGTGTAACTAAGTTAAAGTTGAAGTTTAAACGCCGATCGATAATCAGCTTCGCATAATCTTATCGTAGCTTAGATAATGTATAAGATCCAACATAAGGACTCCTTAAACTACCTATAAACATTGAAATACACTATTAATGGGCAAGTAAGTGTAATAGGCACGAGAAATACATGTCTACTATAATAACACAGCTCTACTTCAGGATTTACAATAACTAGGTAAGTTAACGAATAAGTATTCTATACTATCCCACTACCAGAGTATCACCAAAAATGCCAGCGTACTTAAATTCCGTTTCCCTCCCCTCCCCTCCCCCAAATTTCCCCCTAATTAATGCAAACCCGCAAGTCCGCAAGTCTGTAAAGTATCTTCATGTAATAGTAACTTAACTACATACAGATATCTATATACAAAACAACGAAAAGAAAAAGGCTGGGCATACATAATTACCGAGTAATTTCAAAACCCGCGACGTGGCACACAAAAAAACGCCATGGGATCCCCTTGAACGCCTCCGGCAATGCAGGCCACACACATATCAACAACACCAAGCCAGCCAACGTGCGCACACAGTGCCTCAAGGAAAAGGGGAGAGAAAAAAAGAGGATAACCGTGATATGTTGCTGCTGCTGCTGCTGCCGCCGCCGCGGCGAAGTTGACTGACTGGGGACACGCACGCAAACATAAAAAATCGGACCGGCTCGGACCGGGCTGAACTGCCATCTATCGAAAATGATTGCTCTTCTAAAATTTCATCATCGGATCGTCGTTGTATATCTCACCCGCCCTTCCCACCAACCAATCACTCCCTCACTCCCTCGCTCCCTCAGTCAGCCTTCTTCCCCTTCCCAGCAACAGCACTCGGCTGCGCCGAACGGCCCCTAACCGCGCCTTCACCCTCCCTCCGGCCCGTAGCGCCGTTCCCGCGGAAACCCTGATCTAAGAGTCCCGGCTCCAACCCTCTGCGTCCATCGTCGCTATTCGCATCCGCCAACTCGATGAGATCAAGATCCTCGGGCGGTTTCCTGTGGGAGCTTAGCCTCGGTGTAGCCGGGCGTTTTGCCCACGCGCCACGGAGCCAGGACTCGATGGACGCGGCGGCGTTTTCGAGACCCATGCCGTTGCGGGATGGGGAGGTAGCTTCTCGACCCTCCTCAAAGGGGCTTTCCACGATCCCGGCTGTTTCCTCCGCCGCCTTGTTGAATCCGAAGTGCGCGGTCTCGGACCCCATAACGGACATCGAGGGCATCGAGTCGATGCCGAGCCCGGGGAGTGTTTTATTGACCCATGTGTTCAAGTAATCCTTCGCCGGGCCCGGCGCCTTAACGCTCCTTCCCATCGATCCTACCCCCCCTGGCCTGCGCATCCACGCCGGTACGCTATCCGCTTCGCCCAGACTAGTGACTCTGCTTCTGGCGGGCGAGGAAGCCCCAAGACTCGCGGCTGCTGGCCGCGCACTGATGGAACTTTGCCGCCTGGATGAGAGTTGAGCTGGGCTCTCGAAGACTTCGGACGTGTTTGTTACGGCTTTTGATAGGTCGAGAGAGTGGCGCGGGGTCGAGAAGGTGGATACAGTGTGAACACTCTTCTTTCGTCTAGGGGGGAAATATCCCATTGACTTCCTTGAGACTCTGACAATCTCTACAGGCTCCTGGAAAAAGTCGAGTTTGACCCATCGCACATGGGTCCAAGGTGGTTCCTCGTCTCCTTGTGTAGGAAGTCCTGCTGACTTGCCACTGATAGAGTCGAAGTAACTATCGTGCGTCTGTCGCGACTGTGGGGTAGATGTGATAGGGCTTCTGAGGTCCACAGTCATGGGGGTAGTAGCTAAAAGATCAACTTTCTGAGAGTATTGGGATGGAGGGTCGCACGGCCGGCCCTTGAGCTCGCATGCATCGACAGGTATCATTAAATGCTTGCGCACTTGAATGTTGTCCCGCGACCATAGACCGTTTGTTTTCCTGAATGCATGTTCCTGACATCTGTAACGGAGGACAATACCCGCATATGTGTCTGTAGGTTGTACATGGTGCAAATAGACTAGTTGCTCCTCGACGACCTCCGTTGCGCCTTGTGCAGTCTCGTCTGAGTTCCTCCTCTTATATTTCCCAGCCACATCCAGGCCACCATTGACACCCTCGTAGCTTTCCAATACGCTGGCAGTTTTCCTAGCCTTCAGCTGTGCCTCCCGTTTCGCAAGAGACCCTGCTCCGATGTCACCGGCAACCGGTTGTGATCCAGCCGGAGGTGCTGGTCCCCAATCGTTAGGGGACTTACCGGCTTTCGCAATCCCACCTCCAAGTCCTTTCCATATTGATTTCGGTCGTGGCTTGTTCCCGTTGCGGCTATTAGGACGCGAAGGTTCGCTGTTGTAACCGCCTTCCAATAAAGAAGATGCAAAGTCTTGAACGGATGCCCAACTCGGTGTCCATGAGCCCTCGAGAAGTCCGCGTGAGAATGCGGCATTAGAAGGACTCGACCGTCCGCTCGAAAGTAGTTTGCTGCCCCCGAGGCGTGGAGATGGCATAGGACTCACACCTCTACTAGGTACAGAACTCTGGGCGGGTGCTAAGCCTGGCGATTTTATTGCATCTCTATTTGCGGGAGCTCTTCTACTTCGCGACCTCATGGAAGTGGCATCGTCAGCACTGGCAGGTACGAGACCCGTAGTGGACCTTGGTGCGGCAGGGCTCGACTTCCTACCCGTATCGGCCATATTCTAGGGCGATACGAGCCTATGGAGGCTAGGGCTGGTGTGGATTAATAGATAACATTGATCGCATCGGACGAAAAGTAGCTTGCAAGCAGGTTTATTCTTGTCTCTGTTGTAGAGCGATACACACATATAATCACTGGGGTTTCGGTCAAATCGGCAATCAGCTGAATGGTGGCATGTGTGAATAGTACGTGAGAAGACAAGTTGTCGTATCGGTTGAACGTTAGGCTCGGAACTTGTAATAGTAAAGATATAAGAGGAAGAAAGAAAGAAATATCTGTTCAACGACTGGCAAACGAAAGAGTACTAGAATAATTCAAGGTGGTTATCTGCTTGACACAATCTTAGTTGATAGGTTATGTAGAAAGAAGTTTACATTACAGGAGGTTCGTCAAATTGTACACGTACCATTGGATCCCCTTTAGGGATTGGACAGGGTCTGCACTATGTACTGCCTACGTAAGGTTAGGTACACTGGTATAGCGCCGTCAGCCCCAAACTCAGC